GTAGTTTACTCTCATGACATATGCACTGTACCATTCAATAGATCAGACAAAGTTTATTTTCCATTTTATGAATAAATTTTGAGTAGTATTGCTTTTATCCTATTCCAAAAGGTGACCAGGAAGGGGAAGATTATTGATGAGAAGACATACAGACTCAACATGGCCAAAAAAGAACACAGAAAACATGTCCGTGATCTTTTAGCAACTGCTATTGTTCACAAGACCTTAGATATGGAGGTGCATATTATATAGCACAGCTTTAGATTAAAAACTATGTTTGAGTTAAGTGTAACTCATCAAGAAGCAAACCAAAATATACATGTTATTGGCATAAGCCGAAAATGCAAATTTCATTTTAAATGTTTAAACAGTGTAAGGTTGTGGATTTGAGTGCTACCTGAAGGTCAAAGAGTTTTCAGATTTACCTCTTAATTATATTCCCCAAGTTCCCTTCAAGAGCTGTCATATTCAGAAGGGAATTTATTTCTTTGATTTGCTTTGAGCACATATTTTCTCTTATTTATTTCTTTAGATTCTACATTACTTTTCTAAGAGCTGGTCTCAATTCACTTAAATATTGCTATGTGAATCAGTGATTTTGAGTAAAGCTGAATTATTTTCAAATTGAAGTACTTTGTCTTGTGACGCTTAACAAAACTCATCTAAAAATTGTATTACATACTCATTACATATGCATGGTGGACATTTCTTGGTTGTGAATCCTGTTTGCTTTGTCTTGTAGAGGATGCGACAGTATGAGATAAGAAAAAAACTTGATGAAGTTTACAAAGTGGAATTGGTCAGAAGGGTCAAGGTACATAAAGCCTATTAATTTTATGAAAAGTAGTATTAAACAGTTCCTTTGATATTTATTATCAGCAGCGAAAATAACTAATAGATGCTGATTTCTTGATTGAAAGGATGTAATTTCTTCTTAAATTTTGCTGTCAGTAATATTAATCATTTTCAGTGAGGTCTGCAATTTATTTGTTTATTTGTTTGTACAACTTGACATCAGTCCACAATGACAGTTTGGAGCATTTGACAGTTAGTGATCATTTATATAAAATTGTGACATGTACAGCATTTACTCATAGAATTTACAAGACTGCAAGCAGCTCCTTTTGCTCTAAAATCTGCAGGGTAGAATGTAAAAACTGAGTGAACAAACATGATATTTGACAGGGCTCGAAAAAACCCCTGTCCGGTCGTCTGGAACAAGTAGATTTTCCCTTCGGGCAAGTAACTTTCTCTCCTTACTTGCCCAAAAGGCAAGGACCCAGACAAGCCGTTTGCCGACTATGTTTCTGATAACAATTTTGAGAAGAAAAGGAAAATTTTAGACTCAAGGGTAATCAAGTGTTTAGATGAAGCTTGACGAAAATTACAATTTATAGTGCTGTTTTGTTGATTGCGTGACGTGCACTCACGGCTCAGAAGTGGTTGCCTAGCATGTGATCAAAACCTGCCCCAATCAAATTTCTTTCCAGGATTAAAAGTAGCTGTGTTTGGCACAAAAACACTGTGTCTATTTCTTAAAATTTTAGCAATTTTCTGGGAGTATTTTCCAGTTTCTTGGTACAAAACTTAACTCAACAACGATGAATTAAAGCTGTAGAAATTGTATGCAAAAAGAAGCTGCATATTTCTACTGCGAAAATGAAGCCAGCATTTTTGATGCTAAAATCCAGGTAAATCTCTGTTTTCGGCGAAACATGCAAGTTTGCTAGTGAAAACATACTTGGGCGCCGCCGCACAAAATGAAAAGTATTATATTATTAAAAAGAAATGGATAAGTTAGTCATCAAAATACTTTCAGAGTTCCTGGAAGATGACTTAAAATGCTGTTTCTTTCAAACGAAGATGTTTTCCCTTGACTGAAACTATTTTTCATTCACCGAAATTAAAAAATATGCTCTCACCGGCATTTCAAATTTGACACTGTGCCTGTGTCAAAACTGAAGTGGGAATGCGACTTGTTGTTAATTCTGTGTGTTATAAATTTTTCGTGCTTCTCTTCACAATGATTTTGTGGAGCTAGACAAGATGCAGGTGAACATTCAAGGAGTCAAACGCGATCTTTGACGAATTGAACAAACTGATTCAAGATACCCAGGGTGTAATACAGGAACTAGGAAGTAAGTACATGAACAAACAACAACAACTTTGCAAACTTTGTTTCTTCAACTGGGAGGCACTGGCAAAAGATGCTGTGGGACAAAATTTAATTCCTGATAGCATTTTTTTTATCACATTCGAAAATTCCAGGGAAAGTTGAATTTGACGCCATAAAAACATCTGGTGAAGGTAACTACCTCTATCACTCTGCTTCCCTTATAATTGTTGGGAACGAAGATCTCCATTTGTTGTTAAGGCTTCTCACTGCAATCGAGTTGTTTTTACATGCATCTTACTATGCAAGGCATCCAAAATTTCACACTACTTCAATGTGATTATAACAGTTTCATCCATGTTAATTATTACAAACCATACAACTTCATAAAAGCAGAATGAAGAAGTTAAAAGTTGTTGAAGTATTACAATATAATGTATAATGGCGTAAACATGAAAGTGATCAGCACTAAGAGGACTACAGTCAAGATGGTTTTATTACATTAAAACACGCCTGTAGTTTGACTTCCATTTTTGGGTTCATGAATTATTAATGAGTTTGAAAACTTGGGCAAGTAGGGAAGTCACAGCCCCGGGCAAGCAAAATTTGAGAGTTACTTGCCTAACGGGCAAGATGGAATTCAAATATTTTTCGAGCCCTGTTTGAGGGGCATGAATTATAGGCAAGCTGCAAGCCACAAGTAGAGCAGCCATCAGAAGACCAGCAAAAAGAGCAACTGCTCTCACTAGTTTGATACTTATAATGAGTGATACGCTTACTCAATTTTTGTGTTCTTCCCCTTGGATTTTAGAGCAAACAAGAGACTGCTCACAGTCTGAAAATTTAGATTTGTGTTGGAACGCATTCAACCAATTGAATTAAAAAAAAATTATTCACAGTTCCATAAGTCATGAATTTTTGTCAAGTTTCATGGTTCTTACAGTCCCTTTTTTTTAGCAGTTAGATGAGTCCCATGGTCTCAATTTTGCTTCCTGATTCTGTGAAACTCATACTAAGCAGAATCATGATGTTAATCTACTGCAAGCTTTCACGGTGCCTTAATTTCTGAAGCTATGAAAACTATGAAATGTCACATGGTCTTTGATGACCAAAGTCATGCAATCATGTGATTAAATGTCTTAGTACTGGACCGGAAGTTCAAAATCACAGTCTTGATGTAGGGCAAGGGCCTGGCACTGGATTTCAATCCTACTCCTGATCCTTCTTCTGAGTCTATTGTCCTCCCTTGCAATCAGCTACTTGAATGTGTTTTCCATCTTAAAAGCATGGCCTGTTTCTTTTAGATGTTTACCAACTGTGGTACATGTAATTGTTACTTGTGGTGTTGATATGTTCCTTGAGCTTGGTATTGAATGCTCTAGCTGTTTTGCCAATGTATACTTTTCCACATTCCTTGATCCAATTTGTAGATCATGCCACATTTCTTTGCCTCAGGGGAGGGTCCTTTAGATGTACTTGTTGTGATTGATGGTGTTAAACGGTAGATGGTAGGTGTTAATAAATACCCTGTCTCCTAAGATCCAAGAAGGTTTCTTTGAATTCCCTTGGACATAAGATAGTAGGACACTTAAGAGCACCTCACTTTTTGTTGGTTGGTGAACTTGGATCCCTTTGTTCATCTCTTTGTTTCTCTGGAATTTTAAACAATGATACCATGGTTTGTAAGTTATTGTTGTTGCACAAAACAACCTTCAGATGTTCAAGCTCACATATTGTATTCTCATATAATTCTCTTCTGAGATAACATTGTTAGCACAGTGGAAGAGGGTTTTAGCAACTTAATTTTCTATTTCTTCTTTTCATATCAATCCCATGTCCTGTCACACATCTCAAGGAATCAGCTGATGTTCATTTTATTGTATTCAGTCTTGGGTCATAATTTATCAAAAGAAGACTGTAATATGAACATTTATCATAAGATGTTCTGCTTGTGTACTCCACAAGATCTTTGTCACAATTTTTTTAAAGTGTGCAGGGTTCAGTCGATTTCCTCTCATCTCACTACATGTAATTTTCAAATAATTTTTTTGTGGGTTATTGACCAAACAAGCTTGGTCAATAGAGGGTAAATTTTTTTATTATATGGCTTTTGGGGAAATTTTTCCTGCAGGACACAGCAGCTAGTCCATGGCCAAGTGGGAAAGAGAGCACCACCTTGCTTCCATGCTCAAGTCATCAATTATGGTGCAGGATTTGGTTTATCTTGCACTCTCACGGAGCTAGCCATAACATTGTTAATAATAGATTATGTTACTGAGAAGTAAAAACTACATGACTCTATGGGATTATTCTACCATCTTTGTCTCTTAGTTCTTTTCACTTGATTCTTTAATCATGCTCTTTCATTCTTTCTTTATTTGTGTCTTCTCTGTCATTTCCTAAGACAAAAGAACCTGAGTTAAAGGTGAGACCAATTCTCTGAATTAAATTTCAACATTACTAAATGTTGCAAGCTTGTGCAACACTTTCTTGTCATATTTTGAAAGTTGATGGCTGCTGTGCAAGTCTTTCAACACTTTTCTTGTCATATTTTGAAAGTTGATGGCTGCTGTGCAAGTCTTTCCTTTAAATGTCATATTCTGGGTACTGATTTTAATAACAACACTCTAAATAGGTAATGCTGGCTAACTTACATCGCAGGATGTGCTATCTTGACCATACAGTGCTGGAATCTTCACCAGCTATAAGTTCTACTTGCTAATACCACACCATTTAAGCCATTGAAGTGATCAATGAACTTGTATCACTATGCACAGCATATTGACCCCAGTTGAACTCATTGAGCTCTTTTAAATTTTTCGTTTTAGGAACAGAGAAATAGAAAAGGCGATGAAGACATTCTTCCCCTCCTCTCTCCCAGAGAGAGAACAGCTCAACAAATGCGTAAAGCGCAGCACAGAGAAAGACCAGCTACAGCACCAGCAGCTTTTGCTGAACAGGAGGAGGAGGAAACACATTTGAAACCCTCAGAGATTTACTATGATGATGAAACGCAGAAGATTTATTACAGGGTAATGGTGACATGTTTTATGGTTGAGTGGGACAGCCAGATTGGTCGGACTGGAAATTGGAGATAATTTCTGATCTTGAAGCTAATAATTATGCCAGCTAGTAAACAAGTCATGCACATATAGACTGACAGAGAGGCAAAGACTTTACCTGCTCTAGCTTGATCAGTTGAGAGTGAAGAAAAGTCCATAATTTAATGCTTAATTAATAATTATAGTTCCATTGTGGCCTCTTATAAGTGATGGCTTTTCAAAGTGAAAATCATGGCATGATATGGCATGGCATGGTAGATTAATAGTTGACCTGTCTGATCAGTCAGGAACAGGAAAAAAAAGTCTATATGCCAACTCTCCCAGATTATATGGGAGTCTGCAGATATATCTACCTGATGTCCTGCCCAGATACTAGTTTAAAAGTATTTTAATATGTATTCTGAGCAAGTATTATGACACGTACTTAATTTTTGCTTTCTTTGGTGGTATAAGGTTGATTCAAGTCCACCGCATATGAATGGTTATCTTAAAGATGAAACAGAGGAACTAGGTCCATCTCCATACACCAGGGCCTACCCTGCTACCTACCCTGCCCCGGCCCCTCCCCCATCAGGCACTCCTCGACGCACCAGGACCCTGAGTACACCAAGAAAAGGTGTCAGACTTCAAAGGGTATGTCAAGAAATCTTGTACGTATGAAAAACTGAACTTGATTTTCACACATGCAGAACATTAGGGTTTGAGTAATAAACAAGTGAGAGATGTATGGTCGAACTAACTTATAGACTGCATTTTATTCACTGTGGTGAGGATTAATTAGGGACACTGGTTTGATTGACTTTCTGGTCAACCTTATTTCATTAGACATTGACTATGTAACATGATATTTTCTTTTTTAGAGTGGAAACAATTTGTCACTTTTTAATTTTTTTATTTTTATTTCTATTTTAGTTTCATTATTTGGCCAGAACAGAACCTGCTGTTGCCCGCAGACTACAGGTATTTTTAATGCTAAATAGTGATATATTAAGTATTGGTGTTGTTTAAAAAGGTTTTATTAAAAAGATCCTAAATAGATTATTTAACCTGTGCAAGCTTATTATTTTCTTTATGTTTTTATGGAAGGTGTAGCTTGGAATTGTATGGACACAGTGAGCACAAACTTGGCTGATGATTTCATATTACATTTTTTAGCTTCAGTCTATGGCAGAAGTGACAATGAAGTTTCTTGGTCCAAGCCTTGTACTCACTAACAGCATGTTTCCAGAAGACAGGTTATCAGAAGTTATGGTTCTTCAGCAGCACTGTGGAGGGAGCACTCTGTGTGTCTTCAGAGAACTACTGCCACCAAATAGTAAGAGATAATCATCAGTCAATTGAAGTCTCTGAGCTGTTTAAAGTTAAAAACCATAGACCAAGCTTTACTGCCAATAACAGTCTTTTAATACCTTCTCAAATGGACATCCTCCGTAAACTGGAGCTTGTACATGTAGATTTTTTTGCAGGGTTTGACTTGTACACCTCTGTTTAGTACATTCTCAGCCTCTGAAAAATTCCTTTCAAGCTTTTTTTTTATCAGTGCATTGAATCCTGTATACATGTACCTGAGTTTGACCTGATATGTAAAATGACGACAGCAATTAGCAGGATATCACTCAGTCAAAATAGCTGGGGTTTAGGGATAAGGATTTACATGAAATATTATGGATAAAATTGATAATGAAAGAAATATTCAATTTGATAATAAACAGCCTTCGAAGTGTACTTGTCACATCGTATGTTATCTACATAGTGTGTCTTGATTGTTCCAGAGCATTTAACCTGCATTTTAACCATTTTTTATTTTTTAGCTAATTCTTGCAAAATATAAATATTATGAACAGATGTGAAATGTGAACTTAAGGTGGCTCAAAACAGTTTCCAGCACTTTCCAAGACTTAAATTTTGATGTGTCGTTATAACCACTCTTTATCAGTTAATGCTACAATCATGGTTTCGGAAAACTGCACAATCATTGGTGAGCATGTTGTTAGCATTTTTGTGACACAGTAGGTTACAACAGCAATAGTATGACCTGCTAAAAACACACTTAACTTTGGTTTTGAATATTTATTTATTTCAAAAATGGTTCAGTGAAACACATTTTTTTAGTATGGAATTTTGATAAGCAAGATGAGATGCAACTTTTTTTCAAAGTTTAGAAAAATTCTGTATATGGGGTTCAGAGCCACTTTAATTTTTCAATGTTGTCATTGTCTAAAAATGAGTAGTTGCAGTTTGAAGGAAATAAATTTTCATGGTGAGTTGATCCATGACAGTTTGTCATGGTTAGTGATCTACGAAACAACTGTGTTACTTTATGATTTTAGCAGCTAGCCTAGCGTACTGCACCTAGTACAGCTAGCCTAGCACATAACCAATTCTTGTCCATTTGTTGAATTCACCTCAGTCTGGAAATTATACTGTCTAATGTTTCATACAAACTCTTGTAATATTGTCACAATTAGCTAGCCTAGCGCACCACCTAGCACAGCTAGCCTAGCACACCACCTAGCACACACAAGTATTAAATATACACAGTTTTTCTTAATGTGTTATTAACCATTTCCATCCATTATACAATGTGTACCTTTTTTAGCTCGGGTGGTTTATTTTGCCATTGCAGACCATATGATTTTCTCTCGAAGATTGTTCTTTTATCCAGCAAAAAATTCTTTTGGATTTCATATTTAGGCAACGGTTGGAAATTTGAAAGTAAGAATTGTCAAGGGTATCATCATACATTGTATGGTCTGAAATGGGGCAGCAACCCACCCAGGCTAAAAAGGTCTATTTTGATGTTTGATTTGTTCATTGGAAAGCAGTACAATTGCTTATTTCATGGAGTTATTAGTCAAAAGGTAGTCTCCTAATGTATGCAGCCATTATTTGGATGGCGAAGGAGGGCAAAGCCTGTGCAACAACCCAAATAATGGCTGCATAAGAGACTAGTCAAAAGGAAGTACAACTATTACTGTGTATTTAGTCAGACTTGCATCACAATGTATATTCTTGAAAGAACTTCTGATCATTGAAAGAACATATTTCTGACTTTCTAAAGGGCAAGAAACTTTTTACTAGTTTTATACAACTTACACTATTTTGGACTCATTTAATGAATTTAACAATTGTTTTCTTTTTCAGCAATCTTTACTTTTATTTCACGGCGACACAGAGGAGCTCCTTTTGGCTTGACATTTTACATTGATGGTATGCAAGACATTCGACTTAGTTCCTGCTGTGAATACAAACACAAGCCTGGCCATATCTTGGGTGGAAAAAATGGTCATTTCCAGTTTGTTGTTGTTGAGGGAGCTGCTCCATGTTACAGGTATAGTGTTTTTGGCATGGACCAATTCATGGCCTGCCAGACTTGTCTGGTACCTTTTAAAATATAAACCAGTTGGTCTTGTTGCTGAAAATCATGTTGATCAGTGGTCAGACTAATGAACTCCACTATCTGTCTTCATTATCAAAGACCTAATGTGAAGTGCTAATGAAACATGATTATATTTAACTTTCTGGATGATGAGAATTAAATGCATACTATAGACATTCTCATTTCTCAGGGCAATATAGATACAGTATTTTTCTTTTTCTGTATATATGGGTTATTGACCAAGTGTGAGGTCAAGATGGCTGGATATTGGTCAAGTTCTTTTTTTGCGAGTTTATGGACTGAGACGGAGTCGAGGTCCATAAACTGGCAAAAAAAGAACGAGGCCAATATCCAGCCATCTTGACTGAACAAGCTTGGTCAATAAAGGATTTATTATATGGCTTTTGGGGAAATTGTCCTAGCAGGACACGGCGGGTAGTCCCGAGCGGGCAAGATAGCTCCATCTTGCCCGCTCGGGTGGCCAATCACAGCACAGGATTTGATTCATCTTGCCCACTCGCGGAGCTAGCCATATAATAAATGGACTTATTTTCCTTGTTTGTTTTTCTTTGTTATTCAGATGCCAGATTGCATCCGCTCACAAACATTCCAAGTATAAACATAAAAATACTGAAGGTTGTGGAGATGGTGGAGATGATGACAGAGCAAAAACCTTTATGACTGAGGCAAGAATATTGTAACCTGTAGAAATTATTAACAATCTCTAAAACAAGCATATTATGGTATATTAAGTCAAGTCCAGACTCCTTCACACCAAAGAAAAACTCTTAAAAGTAGCTGGCTGAGGGAGAAGGTACCCACTAACAGGAATAAAGTAATTAAACAGGAGTGGTTAGCATCAGAAGATGAAATAAAGCCACCCAAATTCCAAAAAAACAGATAGCTACAAAAGCAATTGGTTGCTAATTCAGGTACTCCCTTAATTGTTGAATTACAACTTCTCAACACCATTTTGTTGACTTTCCCAACTTTTATCAATCAGATAGTCAACACCAGACCACAAATGAAGTTTGTACTTTGCTCCCTTTGTTACAAATTTGACGTTTTAAGGACGGCGCCTACTAAATACAAAGGTTTTTGCGCCGGGTTAAGAGCACGCCGAAAAAGTAGATCTTTGCAAGGGCCATTGAAATCCACAAAGAAAAATTGGGGTAGCCAC